TATTTTTTTTTGTACGTTCTATCCTTCTTCTTCCCCCCTCCCTCCCTCCCTCCCCCCCTCCCCCCCTCCCTCCCTCCCTCCCTCCCTCCCAGTGCCTATGTCCACTAACACAAAAGATCCCACTGTTTGGCTCTGAGGTTCCAAGCCCTGTTACACCTTTTCCTTCTCTTGGATGGCAAAGAGGATGGGTCTCTCTCTCCTCTAGAGCTGAGGACTTCCAAGTCCATCCTACCTATCTTTAGCCTCAAGTAGAACATCACCAACACCAACCCCAACATATTGCTATAGAAGAAGCACACTGTGCTTGCTCCAGGACCTCCAGGGCTTCCTGGCAGTGTGTCCTGGTGGCTGCTCACCCTTCTTCTGTAGGAAGCTGCACCTGATGTGTAGCCCAGGTTTCTCTTTGAGTGATGCAATTCCTTACTCATTGTGCTCTTGTGGGCATGGAGAACAGACTTTCAGAATCATGAACGCTGGAGAAGGCCTCTAAAATCAAGTCCAATCCCGACCCTTCCCCACCATGCCCACTAACCATGTCCCTTAGTGCCACATCTCCATGTTCCTTGAAAACCTTCAGGCATGATGACTCCACCACTTCCCTAAAGCCTGTTCCAATGCATTACCACTCTTTCTGAGGAGATATGGTGAGAGTACCTGGTGACTTTCCTTGGGGCATGGCAAATAACAGAATTGTAGAGGTTGCAAGAGACCTCTGGAGATGATCCATGCCAACCTCCTACTAAAGCTGGTTCCCTACAGCAGGCTGTGATGTTAGGGCTTAGTGCTGAGGTGAGCACAAGGGGAGCACCAGCTCCATCGTTACTGCGCCGCAGGTCAACCGATCCATAACTCATGCACAGCATTTCTTACAGCAGAGAAGTACAAGCCGAAGAATTCAGTTGGCCAGATTGGAATTGTCTTTTTGTCCTTTTGGAAAAATAACAGCATAGCAATTCTTTTACTTTACCCTCTCCCGTGCTGTACCGGTAGCTGCACTGAAGCTGATTGATTAGTTTAATAACAAGCAGTTGATATGCAGCCATAAAATTATGCACTTTTACTCATCAGCCTGATTGAATTCCTCTGCTGACTGTACTGGAACAGCACGGCAGAGCTATAATAATGAGGGAAGGAGCCAAGGGAAAAGGCAGTGCGCTGCTGTTATTGTTGTTGTTGTAGAGCTGGGGAAGAAAGTGACTCCAGGGAGGAGCTTTTCCAAAATAAATACCAAAATACAGAGGGAAAATGTTAAGATGTAATTAGCCCTGGTATAAATGACACTAAATGCCTACTGGGACTGCAACTGCTCTGACACCCACCTGGTCTGTGTTAGGGATGCAGGAGGTTGGAGCACAGTGGTGCTGGCCCCACTGAACCCACTGAATAGGGTGAGAGAGGCCGGGCCCTTTGCAAAGCAACCCAATCTGATGGGAAGAAATGGGAATTTATGGCCTATTCTGGCCATGAAAGGAAGGATGACATGATGGAGGTGGGTAAAACGTGCATGGGAAGGATTTCCTGCCAACCCCATGCAAATGGCATACGTGGGGAGAAGACAGCGTGAACTGAAGGATCAGCAGGGGCAGGCTTGGGCTGATGGAAAGCCACGCAGCCCCATCTGTGCATGGAGACTGGCATTTAAAACTTCCCAATAAAACATTTCCCAGTGCTGCTCAGCACTCCAGCATGGCACGCTCGGTTGATGGGCTTACTGTCCTGCACACATTTATTTATACGACTAATTGGTCTGTGAATAGGTCGCCTGCTTCTTGTGCCTCTGCTGGTGTCATTGCTGCGAAATCTTTTAATTGAACCACTCACTGGCTGCATCCCCAGCATGAGAGCTGTGCACAGGGAAGCTGGCTGCCTTGGGGCCATATCCAGCCTCCATCAGAGGACCCAATCCACAATTATCGGGTTCTTCCCTTTGGAGCAGATGTCCCTGAAGGACAAAGTGGGAAAAAGGGAGGGAACAAGTGCTGTTTGGCAATTATTATCTCCCAGAAGAATGTTAGGCAGATGCTTGCACAGCTTTTCTTGCCTTTCTCCCTGATTGCACCACATCCATATTGTTCCTGGAAGCAATGCTTCTCCTTATTTACTCCAATGGGCTTTGGGTCAGACCAAGCATTTCTTGTATGATGCTGCTGGAGGTTACATACAGCTGATATACCCAAAGGTGCTGCTTCTCCAGCTACCCTCTAGTTATTATGGATGCCCTTGTCTGTG